GTTAGATGGCTACTATCTTCTCAAATACGCACCTCTTCCTTTAAAAATTGTATCAAAACAATACATTTTATTAAATTAAATTTAATTGTCATCTATCGTTAAAATTTTACACATATAAATTTACTGGCAATGCGCTTCTTTTAAATATCATCAAATATTATCTCTACAGACCTTACTGCAATGATATGAGTTATTGAATGAGAGGGCTTTTCTCATCAGTAGTGAACCCTCTCAGCGGTTTCGCCAAATTAATCTCTAGACCGCTTTACTATTGTATTGGATTGGTTTGGAGTATACCCTGCATTTTCTATGGAAGGCAGCTTAGGGGTGTTTAGTGAACTATGGACATAAGCTTAAAGGTCTGTAGAGGTACATACATATAATTTCAAGGTATTGCATCGAGCAAAGCTCTTCCGCAAAATATGTTATCATAACCAATATATATTAGTAAATTAAATTTTATTGCCATCTATCGTTAAAATTTTACACATATAAATTTACTGGCAATGCGCTTCTTTTAAATATCATCAAATATTATCTCTACAGACCTTACTGCAATGATATGAGTTATTGAATGAGAGGGCTTTTCTCATCAGTAGTGAACCCTCTCAGCGGTTTCGCCAAATTAATCTCTAGACCGCTCTACTATTGTATTGGATGGTTCAAATTCACATAAAGAGGTACCGCTCAGCAAGAGCAACCTAGTTTATGATAATTGAAACAGTGAATAATATGTGAAGGTTATTCATATATTAAACAAATTTTAACGCGGGATTTAATCCCGGTTCATGACTATCGGGAATCGAGGGTGTTACCCACTCGTCCACCGACTTGATTTTGTATTGGATTGGTTTGGAATATACCTTGTATTTTCTATGGAAGGCAGCTTAGGGGTGTTTAGTGAACTATGAACATAAGCTTATAGGTTTATAATGCCTTAGCACGCCATCTGTTATGAAAATTCGAAACTATTATAGATGCATATGATTCTTTTGATATTATTCAATTTCTACTGCCCTTAAGGCCTTCCCATTAATTTTTCCATTGCAGTAAGGGCAGTAGAAAATGTTTCTATTTGTATTAGGTTAAAGACAAATTTCACGTCTTATAACGTATTAAATTCTTTGACAATAAGTAGAAATGTAAAGTGAAATATTCTATCGTTGAAAGGAAAAGAAAAAACTTCAGGATTTATTTATTTATTGTTACAAAAAGCACGAAGTCCAAAGGACTATTGTGCTGTGCTAGTATTATTTACATATATATGATTAAATATTTACACGATGGATTAGTAGTGTTTTGTAAATTATTGTACAAATAGTTCTAAACTTAACAAAGTTCTCATAAAATAGAGTATATACACAAAGAGAATTTGGTAATGTTTCAAAGTATCTACATACAATTTGATTAGTCAGAGGGCAAGTTAAAAGAAGATGCTCTGGTGATTCAACATCTAATCAGAATGACACAGCAATTTATTTAAGACACAAATACAAATCAACATTAATAAGATACAAAATAAACAATGAGGGAAGTTTTACAGAGAGTAACAAAATATAAATAATATAAATATAAAAAATAATAATAATAATCTGTACATACATACACAACACACATAAAACCTTTATTAGGGATCAAGCCCCATACAGGATTCTCCCAGTATAACAATGGTTTTAATTGGACATAAATCAAGTACTATATATAAATTCAGTATTTATTATTTTATTAACAGAGTATCATTTTTATGTTTATATTCTGCTACTCTGTGAATCATAGTTTGTTCTCACCTTAAATAAATTGCTATGTCATTCTGAAGTTAGTCTTTTTAAGTTTCCACGTGTCAATATGATTTAATTCAAAAGCAAGTATATACAAATTCAGTATTAACATGAGCCCCAAAAAAAGGAAAACTATTTACACCTGTTTATCATTCTTCACACACAATTTGTATAAATCTATTGCACTATGTCTACCTTTTACCTACCATACCATAATCTATACATGAAATATAATAAATATTATAAATTATTATAAATAGACTGCTTCATGCAGCTTGAGGAACTACACTACTATGCGACTTGATTTACATCAATGTAAATAATTAATAAGTTACTTTAGAATATAACTCATTGTAAATAGTTCAACTTGATCAACTTTTTCTCTCCACGATACTAATTATTACAGATAACTTCATCAACTTCCATCATTGCTTAACATACTGTAAATAACTACCTTGCGATTTCTTCTATCTGCTTATGTTGTTGCTTATTTGTTTAATGTTTATGTTTATTCAATGCTCTTTTTCTTAATTGTTTGTTTTATTTTTGAATAATTCTGTTACCTACTCTACTACAATAATTGTAAATAGTTTCACGAGCAATTATCCAGATCGGATATAGCGTGTCTTATACTGGTAAATATATAAAATATAATAAATACTTAAGAAAAACATAAGAATTAATATAAAGAATAGATAAAAGTATTAGATAATAAAAAGACATATATTGGATTGAATAAGATATTAATTTGCCAATATTTCGGTTGGCTGAATGCCAACCTTTGTCAAGGCATTATATTTTTGAACACATCATAAACAGTATAAACCGGCGCTGAGTTTGTGTATACAAAAATGTAATGCCTTGATAAAAGTTGGCATTCAGCCAACCGAAATATTAGCAAATTAAATCTTTTATTCAATCCAATATATATCTTTTTGTAAATTAAATTTAATTGCCATCTATCGTTAAATTTTACACAAATAAATTTACTGGCAATGTGTTTCTTTTAAATATCATCAAATATTATCTCTACAGACCTTACTGCAATGATATGAGTTATTGAATGAGAGGGCTTGGCTCATCAGTAGTGAACCCTCTCAGCAGTTTCGCCAAATTAATCTCTATATATCTTCTTTGGCGAAACCACTGAGAGGGTTCACTACTGATGAGCCAAGCCCTCAAATTTCAATAACTCATATCATTGCAGTATGGTCTGTAGAGATAATATTTGATAATATTTAAAAGAAACGCATTGCCAGTAAATTTTATTTGTGTAAAATATATATTTTTATGATCTAATGATTTAAATATGGATTGCTCTATTTTAAAAAAGATAAAAGTATAAATAGAAGTTGTTTTTAACAGAGTAAGAGGTAAAAAAAAGCGATGTGTGGACATGAAATCCACGGGAAATTAGTAAATAAGAGGATAGATAGAGATAGAGATACACAATAAAAAATATAAGAAAAGATAAAAACTTGGACAATTTAAAGTTCCATCCTCCAACCGTCATGTTGACCCTAAAAAATGACCAAACGATTAGCGGAGCGATGAGCTAAAAATATCATTTATCATCATTTCGTTTTATTTTGAAACATTGTTCGTCTGAGGCGATGACATTCTGCTGTCCCTTTATTCAACTCGGCTCTGTAGAAATAATTAATATTCTATAATATATACGTACGCCTTATATAATTTATAATATAATATAATGCTGCTTATAATTGTAGAACGACATTTGAAAATTATCCCGCATGTGTTTCTTTTGAACGAAAAAATTGAAATTTATTTAAAGAAGAAATAACTATTATTTCTAACCTTAGGGATGAAGTATGAAAGGATGAATTGTGAAGAGTAATGATAAACGGAAAAATAAAGTGTCCAAGGATGGGAATCGAACCCACAGTGTTCCGCTTACCGGGTAAATGCCATGTCCACTAGGCTACCCTGGACATATTTTTCCGTTCGTAAATATTATATATATAATGTCTGTTTTATTTCGAACTCTGATTGGCTGTTTAATGTCACATGATCTTAATCATAATCTTAAATGAAATTCTACTGTCCTAAAAGCTTATGTCCATAGTTTGTTTAAAAACCATTTCTGAGATTCCACCCTTCAGTGTAGCGTATATAAGCAGAATGATCCAATACAGTATTAGAGCTCTAAAGAAACGGTCTGGTGGATTAAATTGGAAAAACTGCTGGGAGGGTTCACCACTGATGAGCCAAGCCTTTCCAATATTTTTTTCATCGCATAAGGACAGTGGAGGTTTGATTGATGTGTAAAAGAAACATTCATGTTATTAACAGCGGTATGGTAGATTAAACTGGCGAAACCGCTGGGAGGGTTCACCACTGATAGCCAGGCCCTCCCTATAATTTTTCCATTGCAGTAAGGGCAGTAGAAATTGTTTTATTTTAAAAAGAATATTACGCGTCTAAAATAGTTTTGTAATTTGATAATAGATGGCGCGCTAGTGCACCGTAATAAACATTCGTGTCTTAATATTTTCATTTGCTGTAAAAATGATCATTTTTAATTGCCCCTGTTTGAAAAATGCCTCTTGCTTTGAATGAAATCACATTGACACGTGGAAACTTAAAAAGACAAACTTCAGAATGACACAGCAATTTATTTAAGGTAAGAACAAACTATGATTTACAGAGTAGCAAAATATAAACATAAAAATGATACTCTGTTAATAAAATAATAAATACTTTGCTACATAGCTCCTTCCCTATGGGAGCTGTGACCCACAGCTTGCAATTATTGTAGTTACTGACATGGATCTGACGTGCTTCTGCCAAGGATTCCATCGAAGTCTTGGAACTTTGTCCCTAGTACTTTTGCGTTCTTTTTCCTGCGGCGTGAATAACGGCTTTGTCGTCGTATCGTCTATAGGGACATCGTCATCTTGTAAGGAAGTCTTGGCTTTGACACGTCGGTGGAATGCTGGAGCCAGTCTGAAAATGTAGATCACAGCACCCATGGCCTTAAGGTCTTCTCGGCGATCTTCAGTTTGTCTTCCCTAATTTGCCCAGCATCTCCACCAAATGTAACATAGAAAATTAGGAAAGACAAACTTCAGGATGACACAGCAATTTATTTAAGACAAGAACAAACTATGTTAATAAAATAATAAATGCCTTCATAAATACGTTCTACAATCATAAGCCGCATTATATTACTTTATATAATATTTACGAACGGAAAAATATGTCCAGGGTAGCCTAGTGGACATGGCATCTGCCCGGTAAGCGGAACACTGTGGGTTTGATTCCCATCTTTGGGCACTTTTATTTTTCTGTTTATCATTACTCTTCACAATTCATTCTTTCATACTTCATCTCTAAGGATAGAAATAATCGTTATTCCTCCTTGAAATAAAATTCCAATTTTTCGTTCAAAAGAAACACATACGGGATAATTTTCAAATGTCGTTCTACAATCATAAGCCGTATTATATTGTATTATAAATTACTTTATATAATATTTACGAACGGAAAAATATGTCCAGGGTAGCCTAGTAGACATGACATCTACCCGGTAAATAAATACTTAGCTACAATACCGAAATGAATTATTTCCTCAATTAATTATTACAATACAGATATACTATGCCATTGCTATTTACTAAGTTTAGTGTATACACTTCCATAGAGAAGCATATGTGCAATCTACTCGATTCCAAGAACACCGGCATACTGAAGACTTTAAGCTATTCTCTGACGCATCCATTGATCAAGACCACAAATGGGGAGAGTTTTAAAATAAAAAAGAAGTTGCCGTCTGGGGAATGGACGACTGTGAAAAATGCCTTCCATTTGAACGGAGATTTCATGTTGGACACAGTCTTTGAGAGCGGCTTGCATAAATATTCTTTTTGCTCTTTCTACTAGATAGACACCTTCCGTCTACAGCTATTATTGGCTTATCAGTGTCTTCTATTCAACTTGTTGTCCGATATATTTACATATTTATTTTGAAAATAGAGCAATCTGTTGGATCGTTTTTGAAGACAACTCTCAGATTTATAAAATTATTTTATTAAACTTTAAACATTTTTTAGATATATATAGAAACGAGTTAATTATCTCGTATTTAAGGCAACAAAAGAATCATCTAATTTTTATACATTTTCTAACCAGATTCAACTTGTGAAAACAGACGACAAAGAAAGAATAAACAAATTAATAATAGAGGGTAAGTTCCTATTTTTCACAAGCTTTCACACTCAAAGAATATTCAACTTCTTGCTTCACAATCCATAGATAAATCTTAATTAAAAATACATATATTGGATCAAAATATCATTTATCTTACCAATATTTCAGTTGGCTGAACGCCAATCTTTATGTTGCTTTGTATTTTCAGTAAAAATTTTAGTTTAACATTTCTTTTAAATATATTTTGTTATTTTTATTAATTTTTTTATACGAAAAATCTTTTTACACACATAGTACAAATATTTTTTAAAATATAAAATAGGCGTTATTGTTAATTTTCAAAATATTTACACCTATATTTTACAAAAATTATTTTGTCTATAATATAAATATATTTATCAATTTTTTTTCTCCCCATTGAATATAACAAAATATTTTTTAAAACTTAATTCTGTTGACGTTATGTGGCGCTGAGTTTGTTGTTGACACACTTTAAAATGTTATAACACCTTGATAAAGGTTGGCGTTCAGCCAACTGAAATATTGGTAAAATAAATGATATTTTGATCCAATATATGCCTTTGTAATTAAAGATTTACATATTTATTTAGAATAAAAAACATTTTCTTCTTTAAACTTCTACTCAAACCTTGTAATTATTTTATGATACATTAGCGCGCCATCTGTTATCAAAATACGAAACTATTATAGACGTGTATGATTCTTTTTAAAAAATAAAACAACTTCTGCTGCCCTTACTGCAATGGAAAAATTAATGGGAAGGCCTGGCTCATTGGTGGTGAACCCTCCCAGCGGTTTCGCCAGTTTAATCTACCATACCGCTGTTATATTGCCTTTTTCCGATCTTCCTTTTATAGTGATACTGATGCTAGACTCTTGGAATGGGTATTTTAAATGAACTAACTAAATAAAACATCTAAAATACCCATTCCAAGAGTCTAGAATCAGTATCACAATAAAAAGAAGATCGAAAAATGCAATATAGCAGCGGTATGGTAGATTAAACTGGCGAAACCGCTGGGAGGGTTCACCACTGATGAGCCAGGCCATCCCATTAATTTTTCCATTGCAGTAAGGGCAGTAGAAGTTGTTTTATTTTTTAAAAAAGAAGCATACGCGCCTATAATAGAATCATGTAATTATTCAATTGTTTATGTAATATAGTATCTTAGTGTTGTTTCTTGACGCAAGCATCCCTTGTGAGAATATCGCGTCTGGTTTGATAATAAATAAATAGATTTGTAATGTTTTTAATTTTTTATATGTTCCGACAAAATATTTTTTTTCTCATCATCACAATAAAAATATAAATAAACTGTAAGGATTTAAAAATCCACTTTGTTCTCTTATGCATTTTTACGTGGTGATTCACACAAATCTAAATACATTCATAGACAAAACTTAAGGAAGTGAAAAGTCACACACACACAAATAAAAACCTTTATTAAGACACACAGGTCTTACAGAGAATTCTCCTTGGGGTTACAAGACGGAGAAACCCATGAAAGTGGGAAATATACAAAGGGGTAAAAATGGAGAAAGATTATATACACATATGGTAAATATATACAGATTATTATTTGAATAATCCTATGCACCCGGTTTGTACCTTCTGTAATTCCAAACTAAAAAATGAAATCACTCACTATATTTTTGATTGCTCTGCTCTGAAAGAAGAAAGAAGAACCCTTATGCTCAAAACTGGGCAACTCTGTGCTTCACTTCCATCAATAATTAACAATATGACCCAGAATAAGTATATTGCTACGGCGTTTTATGGTTTCCACAAGTCCATATCTCAGAAGAAGGCCAAGTGACACTCACTCCTCACTTTCTTACTGCTACTCTTTTTGTGTTGTTTTTCTTGCTTCCCTCTTTCTCTTTCTTATTTTTCTTTTCTTTTTCTTCTATATATATCGTTATTTCCTTTGTCTCACTGCTTTGTTCTTATGCATACCTCTGGTGAATCCTGTATAGGGTCAGTGACCCTGAATAAAGGCTTTTTGTTGTTGTTGTTGTTGTTATTGAATAATCCTATGGAAAATAAGAATATGGATTTGTCTCTATTACAGCCAGTCGTCTTATCTTTTTGAAGGATATAGTCTATCTCAATAAAATCTGTAACAATTAATTTTTAGGCAACGTGTTTCTTTTTTTATCTCTACAGATCATACTGCAATGATAAAGGTTATTGAATGAGAGGGCTTGGCTCATCAGTAGTGAACCCTCTCAGCTGTTTCACCAAATTAATCTCCAGACATCTCTACTATTGTATTGGATGGGTTTTCTTATATACCCTGTATTTTCTATGGAAGGTAGTTTAGTGGTGTTTATAGAACCTATGGACATAAGTTTATAGGTCTGTAGAGGTACATACATATAATTACAAGAAATTGCATCAAGCAAAGCTCTTCCGTAAATATAGTTTCATATCAAATCTATATTAGAAAATTATATTTATAAATTCAATATTTTTATAATATTTATAAATTTGGCCTTAAATACCCATTTCTTGATTTTTTTGGGAAGCCATTGGGACCAAAAATCTTTTTGTTCGCAGTGGTTACAGCCTTCTCCACGCTGACGAGCGCCAACAGCGCGAAACGCGTTCGTGGATGGCTTTTCTTGATTTATCAAGAAATTGGGTTGGTCAAATATCACGGAGCAAGCTAAATAAACGTTTAGTTTATTTTTGCTCCACTAGATGGCGCTCTTCCATCTAAAAAGCACATGTGCTCGTGGTCAGAAGATGCCTTCTTTATTTATAAATGTATGTAATTCTGCAGTCCTCAAAGCTTAAGTCCATAGTTCATCTAAAATACCCATTGCAAGAGTCTAGCAACAGTATCACTATAAAAGGAAGTTCCAAAAATGCAATATAACAGCGGTATGGTAGATTAAACTGGGGAAACCGCTGTGAGGGTTCACCACTGATGAGCCAGGCCCTCCCATAAATTTTTCCATTGCAGTAAGGACAGTAGAAATTGTTTAATTTTCAAAAGAATCATACGCGTCTCTATAATAGTTTCGAATTTTCATAAATTTAATTAACATCTATCTTAATAAAACGGTAATAATTCATTTTAAGGCAACGTGCTTCTTTTTAACTCTACAGAAATAAAAACAAAAACATTTATATGAAAAAAATAGTACAAATGTAATATTGTACTGGGATAAGGTGCATAAATTAAGAAAAAGGCTTCTCCTTATCATGCAACTGAAACTACCCGTTTCATGATTTTTCAGGATGCCTTAATGACCAATTTTTTGGTCATTGAGGTACAGCTTGCACCACGCTGATGAGGGCCAACAGCCCGAAACGCGTCCGTGGTTAGCTTTTCTTGATTAATCAAGAATGGGTATTTGGCTAATTCTGGAGTAATTAAAAATCAACGAGAATAGTTTATATTTATACCGATAGATGGCGCAAGCCATCAGTAACTTTCAGTTGCACGATAAGAAGACGCCTTTTTCTTAATAAAAAACATTTATATTAAAAATGGCATACCCTGACCAGGAGCACATGTGCTTTACAGAAGGCAGAGCGCCATCTGGTGGAACAGAAATCAACTAAACATTGATTTAGCCTGTTCCCTGATATTTGGCCAACCCAATTTCTTGATAAATCAAGAAAAGCCATCCACGAACGCGTTTCGCGCTTTTTGGCGCTCGTCAGCGTGGAGTAGGCTGAACCACTGCGACCAAAAAAAGATTTTTTGGTCCCAGTGGCTTCTTGAAAAACCAAGAAATGGGTATTTAAGGCCAAACTTGCGTAAATACGCTTAGCACATAAAAAAAAATAAAGAAAAAAATAAAAGATAAACAGATCAGGTGTAGAAATCAATATTAAAAAAATGGCATATCCTGAATATAAAAACATTTATGTTATTGATGATATTACTTATATCCCAAGTACGCCATGTATGATGATCATATTGGGTTAGTAAGCGACTGTTTTCAATGTATGTGCATATCTATACACGTAGAGAGAAGTTCGATTTTTGAGCCTATACGAGCTGTTTGATGAGATGGCAGCCAGGCAAGGGAATTCCAGCATACGGCACGGATGGTGACATTCAAAAATGGAGTCCTCGTCTCGTGAAACA